ATTTCCTTACGTTTGTGCTTTAAATAATTCTTGAAGTCGTTCCACGAAAGAGGTAACTTCTTGATCATTGCAGCCACCGTAAAAGGTTCATTTACTACCATATCCTCAACAATTAGATCATGGAAAATAAGTTGAAGTTCCTGCACTTGTGATCCAACAGTTTTACTATCTGACATTTTATAGTCTAAAAACTTTGCGACCACAAACTTTTTCAAGCATGCATCTTCTGTCTTATATTTCTTCTCAAGTGCATCCTACAATTCTTTCAAAGTTGTCATTGCACTATAGATATTATATAAGTCATCCTCTAAAGCACTCAGAATGTAGCCCTTACATAGGAAGTCTGCCTGTATCCATGCTTCAATAATCATGAATTTTTCTCTGTCTAGCATTTCAACAGCAGGCATTGGAGTTACTTCATTGGTAAATTTCTACAAACCAAGAGTGGTAAGCCAGAAAAATACCCGTTGCTGCCATCCTTTGAAATTCACACCAGAGAATTTTCCCGATTTCTCTATTGGTGGTACAACAGTTCGGGTTGGTGCAGCAACAGCCACCGTAACATTATCATTTGCCATTTTAGAATATGTAATAAACAGAAATTGATACAAATGACTCAGTAAGCAATAACTTAAATTGTATACTTAATAGGAGTATAAAACCACGAAGGTTTTTGTCTCCACTAAAAACACAGATTAATAAAATAGATAATTTCCTTAAGATTGTTGCCAATCTGTGTTTAAAACAGAATTACTGATTTCAACAAACTTTGCAGAAACACGAAGTTACCAAAGTTTAATGAACCGGTAAGAACAGAAGAACATAAATTAATTCACAAAAACTAAAATCTGTAAAACATACCAGAATCTGTAAAAGACAGAATGGAAAAAGATCAAGCCCACTGAATGCATAGTGTCCCCTTAAGAAAATTATTCCCCTCTAGTATCCGAGGTTTGATTTAGAATATGTCCGCCCAGGATAGAATGATCTCAATCACCAGTGTATTGATACCCAAAACGCTGGTGTCAGTGAGCCACTCAACGACAGTAAAGTACACGAAAAAATATTTGTGCAGAAGAAGAAGAAGAAACTAGAAATTTTCGTAACTAAAAAATTCTGAAGAATAACTGGTATTTATAGCCAAGAGGAACTGATTTCGAAAGGTTGCAACCTTTCAAAATCCACACGACTATTAATGAAAGTTTGCAACCTTTCAAACGGTCATGGATGTTCCTGAGAGTTGCAACCTTTCAGAACAGTCATTTCCAACGGCGGGAAATTTAAATAAAATGGGTCTCGCACGGATACGAGTCGGGTCGGAACGTTTCAGTTAATTAACTAATTAATTGAAACGTTTTGGCCATTTAATTTAGTTTAATTAATTAAATAAATAAATAATCTCTCGATCGATCATTTTTTAAAGCCAAAGTCAAAGCCGAGCGAGCGACGACGACGGCGCGAGGAGGGTCCCTCTTTCCAACCTTTTTAACAATTAATAGAAGTGTTTCTCTATTTAAACTCTTCTATTTTTCTTTCCATCACCGATGAGGGAGAAATGTTTTTTTTATTAAAGCATAAGAGGACTTTTCAAATTCCCAACTTTTCAAGTTTCTCGCTTTTCATCTTCCCTCCATTTCTCATTAACTCTTGCTATATACCCAACATGATGCAGTTAGTCCTAAGAGTTTAAGAAAATTTTTATTGTGTTTTGAAATCTATATTTCTTTCTATAAGAATATTATAACGACTTCTGCTTAGTTATATACTTGGAGTACAACCATATCTCTTAATGTTAAAACAATATGAATATGGATGGTTTATATATTTAATTGAGTTGAATCATTATTTGTTATTTTTAATTTAACTGACTAAAGGTTGAAAAACATTTTGACAAGGAATGCATGCATCTTTCTACCAAGTGTTAATGAGACAAACATCAAAAAGTATCAAGTAGCAATAGTAGTCATATGATTTATTAATAGTAATGAATCTGCTTAATACAAGCTACATGATCAGTAATTAATTAATTCCTTAATTAAGAAGAACATGTTTGTTTAGCCGCTGCATCTATTTGGTCCCTTTGAATTCCAGCATTACACATATTAGCAAATCCACGAACGTGTTTTCTACCATATCTAGTCAATGATCCACAATGCGACTCAAATATCTTCACCTGTACATCAACGTAATATTATTATTTTTATACTGTCAATGTATATATGATCGTTGTTATAACATATGGACGTGTAGTATATACTTACAAAGGATTTAAGACAATCCCAATCATCAACAAGGGGTTGTCCAGCAGGTCTAACAATGTTGAGCACTTCTGGACCATTTTTAACTCCAAATAAAATTTGTCCAATATATTTTACACACTTGTCTACATGTTCTCTTTCTGAAATAGCTTCACTTAGTTTCCTATAAGCTTCACTTTTTCTTGTAGACCCTTCCGGAGCATCCTGGAACTGTGAATTGATCGTATATTTAAACATTGTTTTACGTAAGTACATACAAAAGTTAAAGGGATGTAAAATTAATTAATCACCTTGGATAAGAGATACAAGAGTTGCACATCGCGCTGATTAACATGTCTTGAGTTTGTGGGGTAGTTATTGGTAGAAGAAGTATGTGTTGGGGAATTAAAACCCATATATTTGGAAAGAGCATCCTTATTTATATGTAAATCACCATATTGCATCACATGGGAACCGTGTGTACCATTATTTAACACTCTTTTACGAATCTGATCGAATTCAAAAAAATAAAAATAAAAATCCAACAAGAAGTTAAGAATTGCATTTATAAAATTTCGAATAAAAAATTAACAACTACGTACTCCCTAACTATATGATATTTGAAACTTTACAAACTAATTACCCGTTGATACTGCTTTTCCAAAGTTTCAACTCGGCGATCGTGCAAATCACTGATTTATACAAATTTCAAAGTATAGTTAGTTTAATTTAACATATATATAAGGATGTCAAATTAAAGAATGTAACAAACATATACATACAAACATACCTATTCTCTAGCCAAGAAACACTGAACAAATCTCCCAAGCAAGTATTATTGAAACCTTTTGGTGGACACTCACCAAGGCAAGGTTCACCACTGAAAGAACAATACGTGGCCCAACTATCTTCAGCAGGTTTTGATGCAGTCGTTACATAAATATTTAAGCCTTCTTCAAGAAGACCATCAAACATGCTTCCAGAATCACAAGCTTCCATGTAAAATACCTAACTAATTAACAACCTATGTTCATTATTCATACATCGATCATATATATATATATAAATTGGTTCAAACTTAACTAGCTAGAGCAAAAATTACTTACCATTTTCTTATAAGTCCTAGAAGCATGTTTTTTCTTCAAGACCTCATTTAGGTCCTTGGCATAAATTGATGGTTCTATAGGCATATCTAAATATGACAAAATTAGATTAATTAAATACTTTGGTGAACAATATTTTATATTGGTTGGAGTAAGAAATTAAATTTTTTTACCAATTACACCAGGACCACCATGATCAGCATAGTAAATAAAAATATGATCATTTGGACCACTGTTCACAACTTTTCCACTGCCTCCAGTTAACGCACTTTTGTTTCCCAGGATAACACCATAAAAGTTTTGAGCATTACAATATTTTCCAGTGTAATCCTACAAATATAAATCTCATAAATAGGTCAAAAAGGGTGTGTTTATATATATATATATATATATTTTATATTAGATTTAAGTAATAACATCTTGACAAATAATCATGAGCCGGAGCTAGAAGTCCAGCTACGAGTTCGATTGAATCCATTAATTTTTGTTCAAATAATGTTTGTTATTGACACTTGAAATTGTTGTTATAAAATTCAAAACACATACATATGTACCTTGGGTACTCCTTTGTACACATCTTGGCCATGTGGGTTATTTATTATAACTCCACGTCTAGGATTTTCAGAATTGTAAGCAATGTCATCATACATGAATACAATAATGTGTTCATCTTTTAGACCGCCTTTCTTCAGTAATTGATAAGCATGACATATATCAGCCTGAAATTATTAGCCCAAATTATGAAATTAATCAATCTTAGAAACAATTTTTTTACTATAATATATAGTATGATTAGTGATTTTCTAAGGGAAATAAGACATTTAAATTAAATTAAACAATCTTTTATCTTTTCATTACTTTATTTTTAACCATTAGTTAGTTAACTAAGTCAACGTCAAATATCTTTTCAAGTTTGCGACAAATTCGGTCTGGTGCCTTTCTCCCGGCTTACTATGATATCTGGGTAGGAAGAAATTAAAGTCATTACCAACTAACATTGAACAATTACGCATGATGGTGGTATCATTATTTTTACTTTCATCTTTGACTTTATTGCTAAAGAGATGAATACACGTACTTTTCAGTACTGATTTATATAAAATTAGCATGTGTAGTATCACGTTGATATTAAATATATGTATATATTACCTGGTGTCTGTAATTATACCAATCACTTGATCCAGCTACTAACACAGCCCATTGAGTTCCAATTGAATGCTCATGATCTTCAACAATACTCTCTATCACGTTACTACCTTCAACTAGTACCACAAAAAGTGCAACTAGGAATGATGCAACATTAATTTTGACAAACATTTTTAGCTTTAGAAAAGTAATTATATATTTTGCTCCTTTAATTTTGATTAGTGATGAGTTAATCCATTGGGTAACACAAATTAAATTTATAGAGTTTTCTAATTGTCTTATTCTAGGCGAGTGGTTGTGAAATTAATTATGTCAAGTTGTTAAATTTCTACATTTGTTTTCTCTAGACTAAGATATGTACTCCCTCTGTTTCATATATGAGATGAACATTTTCTATTTAACACGGTAATTAAGAAATTATTAATAAATTGATCAATTTTATTATTTTTCCTTTTTGTTCATATTAATTAACCTCTTGAAAAAAAAAGCAATTTTGAATTTTAAAATTTGTTATAACTTCCAAAGTCATATTAACTATAGGGGTAAAATTGGAAAAAAATAATTAATTCTATCTTTATTTAGTAAGTGATCAAGTAATATGAGACAAATACTTTTACTAACATGCCCATCTAATATGGGACGGTGGTAATAATATACTCCCTCGGTCCCATATTAGTTGATCATTATACTAAATATAGTTGTCACATATTAGTTGATCAGCTTACTAAATTAAGAAAGCATTAATTAATTTTTTTCTATATTACCCTTTAATTAATTCTTTTTGCAAGTGTTCACATTTATTTGTTAAATTTCCAATAAGGTTTTTTAAGGGATGAAGTAGTAAAATCATCTGCTTATTGATTTTTTTAAACACAATGTAAAATGAAAAGTGACCAACTAATTAATATGGGACGGAGGATATAATTAAGTAGAAGTATTACCTTAACGGGGTAATTATAGCCTAATAATAAACGTTCTTCAAACATATAGCAAAGAGAGTTGTTAGAATTTGCCTACTTATTTGAACAAAAAACAAACGACATATATATATGGGCAAATAATTTATGACCTTACTCCATTTATTAATCCTTAAATTCAGTGTAATTAGTTAGAGGATAATGGAGTAGTATGTGGAATACGCTTTTCAAATACTATAGGGAAAATTATGAGGGAATTTTTTTTTTTTTGAAAACAATAAGGTGTTTGGCTAATAGTTCTTTTAGCTGAAAAAGTAGATGAATTTTTTTTTATTATTACAAGATCAGAATATTTCTGTCATATATACATATTCACTAATGTATCTTATATATTTATTTATTTTGTGATGAGTTTTTCATATGTAGTAATTTAATTTGTGAAATGATTTTTAAATTCAGGGAAAGTCTCAAATATGTCATTGGAGAAAAGACTTATCTATGCATTCGTTAAAAGGTTGGCTCATGTATGTCATTTTCATGTGAGAAAAAGTTCATTCATGCCATTATTTGTTAACTGAAACGACATAGATGAACTATACTTTAAACAGATGATATAGATGAACCTTTTCTAAAAGTTCGATGACATATTTGAACATTTTTCTGTTAAAAAATGATTTAATTAATGGTGTGAACGAATCATAATTGAACACGTGTAAAAAATGAATTTGCAAAACCAAACTTTTTTTAGTTAACAAATAATGGCATGAATGAGCCATTTCTCAAACGAAAATAGCATAGATGAGCCAAACTCTAAACATATGACATAGATGAGCCTTTTCTTAAAGTTCAATGACATATTTGAGCATTTTCCCTTAAATTTATTTGGCTTGATATCTTTAATTATATTTATATTAGCATGTTAATATTATATCAATACTTAATTTACTGTTTTTATTCATCAATGTATAATATTGATTGAAAATTTGAATATGCACATTTTAATTTAATAAAAATAAAATTTAATAATTTTTTTATAAGAAATATTTAAAATAATCTTAATATTAAAACCGCATCAAATGAATTAGTAAAATACAAATTGATTATTTTTTTTTCAAAAACTATTTTTAAAAAATGCTTCTAAAAATAACTAATTTTTAGCAGTAATACCAAACAGGCTCTTAGTGTTATTCAACTTCTTCAGATTAATTTTACCAAATTTATTGGAAAAAAAAAGTACAAGGAAGAAGATTTTGCGGGATATGACTAAATTTTAGATTGATTACAATACAATGTATACTTTTTTGTTCATGCTGTGTTTTCGATTTTTATGCTATCATTAATTATTTTTTATACGCATGTTCACAATTTATATCTCATGAAAGTTAAAAAATATTCTTAAAGTTATGTTGTGTGTTTCTTTCATCTATATTACGTTTTAGTTTTGTGAATAAAATATGAAAAAATGCAGAAGAAATTCATAAGGTGGAAGAATCGAATCTTCGCTAATCAGGTGCATGAATTTGAAATCACATATAAATATCATAATTTCATGTTTCATATTTTCCTTTATTATCAATCAATAAAAAAAAAATCCTTGTAGAAACATATTACGTTCATAGTAAAATTATTAATGATATACAATTTTTAATTTTTTGAATTGTCACTCACGCAAAACAATATTTATTCAATAAAAATTTAATGATTCACAAGTTGGCATATTCATTTACTACGTGAGATTCTATTTTTGTTAAATGGAGTAAAGTTATAATCTGAGTTAGATGGAGTATTAAGTATATTTCTTTTGGTAATGTCAAATGTGGATATTAAGACGGCACTGATTTAGGAGCCATTCACAACATTCACAAAGTGATTAATACAGAACCTTATTAATAGCCATTAAGAATCTGAAAATATTAGTATTAATGATGAAAATGATGTTTCAATAAGAGAAAATACATAAAGTTCCCTTTAACTAATACTCCCTCCATTCCATATTAAGTTAATTTTTTAGGTATTTTCCATTTTTCAAATTAACTTAATTGTTCAGTTTTCAAGACTACTTTTAGAGTGTTCTTCCAATTTTATCCTTCATTAGTTAGTATTGGAATTAGTGATTAATTAATATTTAGTTATTTTAATCATAAATTTGACAATAATTAATAAGGATAAAAATGGAAAACTAGGTTCAATTTATGTCTTAATCTACTTTTCTTAAAGGGTGTGAAACACCTCAAAAATTAACTTAATATGGAATAGAGGGAGTACTTTTTTTAAGAGACGCTTAAAATTTATGGGAGTCGTGTTACCCTATAAAATTATTTTTAAATAGCATATATACCTCCTTTTGTCTTTCAGTTTTAGTTTGTAAGAAACTGTTGAGAATGAATAGCACATGGATTGATGACATAGAGGTTCACCTGGATCAGTGACATGACACGAGTTAGTTAGTTAAGTTGATTAATGTTAGAACAATTAGTGAGGTGTAGTTGATGCAGATTGGTTAGTTAGGAAAATGTGTACAGCTCAGCTAGATTAGTTAGATGCTTTTATTTTGTATATAAAGATAGCCAGCTACAACTTTGTAGTTCATACGATTGGAATGAGAATTTTCCATTTTCACATGACTCTTCTCTGTGCTTAACAACTCTCTTTTCATCTGAGTTAAGATCTGTTGCCTCCATTGATGGAAACTTCTGCATACTCATGAATTTTATTATGGTATTAGAGCGGGATAGATCGTGAATAGAGTGTGATCGAGAGTATCTTTCTTTTATCCGCCATTGTTGAAACAGAGCTCTCAAATTTCAGAAGCTTCGAAGAGTAACAATGGAGACTGAAGGAATTTGTGCTGCTGCTGGAAGCAATTTGAACACATCAGTGACTATAGATCATTATCATCCGTTATATTTGCAGGCTTGTGATACTCTAGGTAACAATTTGTTTTCTTTCTCTCTAACTGGTCCAGAGAACTACGCAATTTGGAGAAGATCGATGACAATTGGATTAGTAGGAAAGAACAAGTTAGGATTTGTGGATGGAAGATACACAAAGGATAAGTTTGATGAATCTCTGCATGAATTGTAGGAAAAGTGCAATGCAATTGTGCTATCATGGATAATGAATAATGTGAGTAGGGAGCTGTTGAGTGGAATCATGTATGCTTCAAGTGCACACAAGGTGTGGGTAGATCTAAATGAGAGGTTGGATAAGGTTGATGGATCTAGAGTTTTCCATCTGCACACAGAGATAAACAATTTGACTCAGGGCACATCTTCTGTTTCAAGCTATTTCTCAAAGATGAAGGAGCTATGGGAGGAATTTGATGCCCTCATGCCATGCCCTGGGTGTGAATGTGTAGAATCGAAGAAATATATCGAGCATTATGAGTACCAGAGACTTTTGCAGTTCCTAGTGGGACTGAATGATTCCTATGTGCAATGTCGAAGTCAAATCATGATGACAAATCCAATTCCAAGCTTGAACAAGGCTTACTCAATGGTGATATCAGAAGAGAGTCATAGATCACTGGGGAAGGCAGTACATGTAGGTGAATCTATGGATGGAACAACTTTGTTTAGCAACAGGAACAAAATCACTGGAAATCAAAGAAGTCCTGGTGGAAGCTATAAGGATGTTGAGAACAATTTTAAGCCAAGGAAGAAAAGTGATTTCTATTGTGATCATTGTGGAATGAGAGGTCATACAATTGAAAGATGTTGGAAGGTGCATGGGTACCCATCAGACACTAGAGGAAGGAGAAGAATGAGAGGAAATCAAAATGCATCAGGAGGATTCAATACATCAGCTAATGCAGTGAAGTATGAAGAGCAACAAGCTCAAGAAAAGGACCCTCATCTAAGTATGGCAAATGCTAATGAAACAGGTCGCAAAGCAGGCATCATGTTTACTCAAGATCAGTATGAACAACTGATAAAGTTGATCAACAAGGACAATGTGATAGATGGAAAAAATGTGATAGGTATACTTCATTCTTTCCTAGCCAAACATAACATTGATTATGTTAAGTGGATAGTAGATTCAGGAGCAACTAATCACATGACTTACAACAAAAACCTGCTTAGTGACATTAGAAGATTAGATGACAGATGTCCAAGAAAGGTCTATTTGCCAGATGGTAATGCTACTGAAGTATCATGCATTGGTTCTTGTGATTTGGAATATGGGAGCAAGGTTACTAATGTCTTGTACATACTAAAGTTTCAGTATAATCTTCTATCAGTCACAAAACTAACCAGGGATTTAAGGTGTTTTATTAGTTTTTATCCTGATCTATGCATCATTTAAGACCTTCACAGTGGGAAGGTGAAGGGGATTGGTAGAGTTGTTAATGAATTGTACAGGATGCAGTTGCAGCTGAAGGATTTTCAGAAAACTATGGTGGCAACTGTACAGTCCAAAATTGCTGATGCAGGAGAAGACTTAGCAGTTTGGCATCAAAGGCTGGGTCATTCTCCTGACAAAGTACTGGAGAAGATACCAAACATGAAGTTTAATTCAAGTAGTAATAGTAGTAGTAGAATAAAGGATTGTACCATTTGTCCATTAGCTAGACAAAGGAGATTGTCTTTCCCTACCGGAAACAATAGACTTGCTACACCTTTAGAGATTATACATGCTGATGTATGGGGACCTTATAGAGTGTGTAATCCTGATGGGAGCAGATATTTCCTTACTTTGGTTGATGATCATAGTAGAATGACTTGGATTTTTTTGTTGAAGTTGAAGAGTGATGTAATTGTCATATTGAAACAACTTTTTGCATTAATAAAACCTCAGTTTAGTGCAACTGTCAAAGTGTTTAGAAGTGATAATGGTACAGAGTTCTTTAACTCAGAATGAAATGCTTTGTTTCAATCTTATGGGATGATCCATCAGAGGTCCTGTGTACATACACCTCAACAGAATGGCTTAGTTGAGAGAAAACACAAACATATTCTAGAGGTTGCTAGAGCAATAAGACTTCAAGGTCATTTGCCTCTCAAATTTTGAGGAGAGTGTGTCCACAATGTTGTTTACATCATCAATAGATTGCCACTGTTTGTCCTGAATAGCAAATCAGTCTTTGAATTGTTGTATGGTAGAAGTCTTTCCCTACAACACATGTGAACTATTGGGTGTTTATGTTTTGCAAACACCCTTACCAAAGGAGACAAGTTTGAGCTTAAGTCCATGGGGGCAGTTCTCATGGGATACTCAGCCACAAAGAAAGGATATAGGCTCTATAACTTGTTGACTAACAATTTTTTTGTTAGCAGGGATGTACAATTTAGGGAATCTATTTTTCCCTTTCAGCTTTTACAAACTGGCAAGCTGACATTGTTTCCATATGGTGTTATGACCATAGATTCATGCCCCATTCCTGCTGTTGTGCCTGATCCAGCACCTATGGCCCCTCCACATGATAACATAGATGAACCCACTAATGTGGTACCTGATGACAATTCTCCTGCTCCAATACCACCTGTCCCTGCAGTTGGTGTGGAGGTTAGAAAATCTACCAGACTAAAAACTCAACCCTTATGGATGCATGAATACATTTGCAGTAGTAAGCCTCACACTAGTTCTTCGAATTCATGTCAATATCCTATGTCCAACTACATGTCAAATTCAGGCTTGTCTGGTACATATCAAGCTTTTCTAACCAAGCTCACTTCCCTAAAGGAGCCTCAAAGTTATGCTGAGGCTGTTTTAGATCCTAAGTGGATTCTAGCTATGAATCTGGAGCTTCAGGCTCTTCAAGACAACAACATTTGGTCCTTAACTGATTTACCTCCTCATAAGGTACTATTGGATGTAAATGGGTATATAAAATCAAGTACAAGGCCAATGGTAATGTTGATAGATACAAAGTCAGATTGGTAGCTAAGGGTTATATCCAGCAAGCGGGCATAGATTATCAAGAAACCTTTTCCCATGTGGTGAAAATGGTCACAGTGATGGTTGTTCCTAGCTCTTGCAGCTTCTCATAATTTGTGCCTCTACCAAATGGATGTATATAATGCTTTCTTGCAAGGAGATTTGTTTGATGAGGTGTATATGCAAGTCCCATAGGGATTTCCCATCCAGAGGGAGAACAAAGTATGCAGGCTGCAAAAATCCCTATATGGACTCAAACAAGCCTCAAGACAATAGAACTTGAAGCTTACTGAGGCACTGCTTGAATCTGGCTTTACTCAAAGCCATTTTGATTATTCCTTATTCACAAAAAAATTGGATACAAGAATGGTGGTTATACTGATTTATGTGGATGATCTCCTGATCACAGGAAATGACCATCAACTCATTTTGGAAGCAAATAGGGCACTGCAGTCCAGGTTCAAAATTAAAGATCTTGGTGAAATGAAGTACTTTCTTGGGATTGAGATTGAAAGATCAAAGCATGGCATCTTGATGAATTAGAGAAATTACCAGTGACTTTACCGAGTGATAGAAGGTCAGCAATACAAATTGCTGCAAACCCCATTTTTCATGAAAGGACAAAGCACATAGAAACCAATCTACATTTTATCAGAGACAAAATTCAGGAAGGAGTGATCAAGACTGAATATGTTTCTTCAAAGGATCAAGAGGCTGATCTATTTACCAAAGCACTAGGGAGAGGACAACACAACTATCTTGTAGACAAGCTAGGGATGATTAATGTTTTTTCATCACCTAACTTGAGGGGGAGTGTTGAGAATGAATAGCACCTGGATTGATGACATGGAGCTTCACCTGGATCAGTGACATGGCACGAGTTAGTTAGTTAAGTTGATTATTATTCGAACAGTTAGTGAGGTGTAGTTGATGCAGATTGGTTAGTTAGGAAAATGTACAGCTCAGCTAGACTAGTTAGATGCTTTTATTTTGTATATAAAGATATCCAGATACAACTTTGTAGTTCATAGGATTGGAATGAGAATTTTCCATTTTCACATTACTCTTCTTTGTGCTTAACAACTCTTTCTTCATCCGAGTTAAGATCTGTTGCCTCCATTGATGGAAACTTCTACATACTCATGAATTTTATCAGAAAATATGTGCAATTTATGTGTCATGCTCCGAGCTTACATCTTGGACGTTGATGGCACTCAAGAACCATTGTTAGTCCCCAAGCGAATCCTTTGCCTGACTGACTACTTCGGTGAAGATTTACTCAAGCGATAAAAGGCTTAAAAATAGAATTTTTGAACATTTAAACTCAAAGTAAATACTTAACTCAAATTGTATGTAAAATACTCAATAACACAAGTATAATAGTTTGCAAAAATAGCTCAAGGAAAAGTACATACTGAAAGACTCCTAAACTCTATCTATCTATGAAACCTCTAATACTTAAGATAGGTGTCGGGACAAGACCCACGACGCCTCAAAACAACTAAACTAAAAGTAAATGTGAAGTCCTCCGATGCAAGGGGGGCTCACCAAAACTATCTGGAGTGTAGAGTGATCTCAACGGAACGCATGTCGATGATCATGAACACTTGTATCTGTATCATAAAAAGATGCAGGTCGAATGACATCAATACATTTGAATATACGAGTATGTAATACAACCAAAGTGAAAAGGACTGCAATAGATATAACATAAATCCAACTGAATGTAAATAATTAAAAGCATGAAATCATTTAAACTTTACAACAATACTTATTCATCTCCGAAACTCAACATAATAAGTGATATATAAAAATACACTTTAACTCACCGACAACCATCACTATGAACCACGTGATGATACAATGTCTTGCCCATGCTGTCAGAACTGTCTTATATCGTACCGGGATATAGAACCTCTCAACTAAGTGGATCCACTAAGCTCTGCCCGAAGGCACTAAGGATTCATCTCTTGTACCCATGTTGGCAAGACATGGTTTATGGGGGTTGTGAGTTATCTGAACTCTCCCCCATATCGGTGCTCAATACTACTCCTAGAGGTGTACAAAATTGAACCGAAAACCAAACCAAACCGTAAACCGAGTCAAACCGAAAAAACCCGACTAGTGATTTGGTTTTACTTGGTTTGATATTGGAAAAAAAAACCCGATTATATTTGGATTGGTTTGGTTTTAACTAAAAAAAATAACCGAAGACCAAACCAACCCGACGTTATATATATAATTTAAAAATTTTATTTTATACATAAAAATATTTACTTTGATACATTTCTTATACTTTTTCATAGTTTTTATCTTTTAATATATTATTTCAAGTTTGAAACATAGAATTCTGAATGGTCCAATAAAGATTATAATCCATGGATGTTGGTAATTATAATAAAGCTTAAATCAAAATCAGATTAATACTAATGCAAAAAGAAAACCGATTCAACACTAAGAATGTCAATAATATTGAATATTTGTTCTTTAGTTTTACATTGGTTTAGACAATTAAAATACATAATCTAATTTTAATTTCCTTTAATATTTAGTCATTTAACTTATACTTATTAAACACATTTTAGCATAATTTAGTACTTTTAAATAATGATCATTTTCATTATGACTTATTAATTTGCAATATTTATTTTATGCGATTTCATTATTATTATTTTTGTTGGATATTTTAAGTGTCATTAATCATATCATAGTTTGTGTTATTTTCATAAGAAACACCTTAGATAGTTGTATTTTGATAGGACTAAAGAAATATTTAGTACAAGTAAATTATATGTTTGTATGAATACTTTATCGGAAAAACCCGAAAAATCTGAAAAACCCGAGTTTTATTGGTTTGGTTTTGATTTTATAAATTTTAAAAAATCTGACACAAATAGTTTTGGTTTTGATAATTTGAAAAAACCCGAACCAACCCGATCATGTACACCTCTAAGTCTACTCCTAATAATATATATACTCTTCCTCAAATGTATAAAAACATACTCTTTCTCTAGTTCGAGATAATTGCTCAAACTATCCTCTTAAAAGATGTTACTGCTCTGAAATATCTCTAAAACTCATTGTTCATTTAGAAAACAAGGTTTCTCTTTGCTCAATGTAAAAATACATTCTAGGTTGAGATAATTACTCAAAAGGGACCTCTTTAAGAGTTAACTGCTTTGTACTCAATCTTTATGAAAACTCTTACCTTCATGTAAAAACGAAACATTTGGGAAAATTTTAGTCCCTTATACTTTTTCTCAAACTGCTCTTTTCTTCCTCAAAAATTCAATTTAAAAACACAAATGTTGGCTTTAAATAATTCTCAATATTTATAACCCAAAATAGGGTTCATATTGAAATATAGACATGAACGATTCAACTCAAGGATCTCAATAACAATATAGAAAACTCAATTCTCAGAACTCATAACTCAACGATACCACTCATCTCAAGAATACTCAATTCATATGGTTCATGCTGAAATATAGACATGAACAAATCAACTCAAGAATCTCAATGCATAACATATAGCAATTCAATAATTAGGAATAGAATTTAAAAAAGAATCAGGAACTCAAGAACTCAAAATCAACTATCTCAAGAATACTGAAATCTAAGGATAGAACCCTAGATTACTTTTTTACTGATTTGAAAGTAGATGTAAGGTGTGAGGACGAACTAGTTCATCACTATGATAGCCTTAGATACATTGGAAGAACAGAGTTCTTAGCGAAATTGACGATACTCGAAGAACGCTCGAAACCCTAGCTTTTCTCCTCTTGGAACCTTGCTCTAATGCCTTGAAGTGTTAATGAACGTAAAAGAATTGATTAACACTTTCTAAGCCCTTAATTAGGTGTAAAACATTGTGGTTTAGACTTAAAATATGAGTTAAAACGACGTAGTTTAAGTACCAAATGCATATGAGAAAGACCAAAACTATCCTAACTTAAAAAACTGACGAGGTTCCTTAAAAGGAA